AAATTTTAGTAATGAAAGTGAAGATGTCACTAAAAATCATACAGGAATTAAAAGAAAAATAATGAAATTTTATTCAATGCAAGAGCACACAATCTTTCTAATTCAATGCAAGCACAAGACTGAATTATTCTTCTTTCCTGATTGCTCTGGCTAGGACTTCTAGTACTGTGTGGAATAGGAGTGGTGAGAGTGAGCATACTTGTCATGTTTTAAAATTGAATGTTTTCAGTGCAAGGACACAATCTTCCTAATTCAATGCAAGCACAAGACTGAATCAGGAAGAGACTGAAATCATAAATAAAGCAGTTCAATGTAGAAATCGAATTAGTAATAAAGAAACTACACACACACACACACACAAAAAACCCTGGACCAGAGAGATTCACCAGACACACAAAGAAGAAATGATACCAATCCTACAGAAACTATTCCAAAAAAACTAGAGATAAGGGACTTCTCCCTAACTCATTCTACGAAGCCAGCATCAGACTGACACCAGAATTTGGCAGAGACACAATGAAAAAAAAACTTTACATCCCTCATGAATACAGATGGAAAAATCCTCAAAAAAAATCCTAGCAAATAAAATCCAGCAGCACATTAAAAAGTTAATACACCACGAATCAAGTAAGCTTTATTCCTGAGATGTAAGGCTGGTTCAACCAGCAAATCAATATGATTCACTACATGAAATCAAAAGCAAAATCAATATAACCATCCAAATAGATGCAGAGGAAGCTTTTGATAAAATTCAACATCCTTTCATGAAGAAAACTTTTCAATAGATTAGGCATCAAAGAAACATAACTAAAAATAAGGACGGCACAATGGCTCATGTGAGCCTATAATCCCAGCACTTTGGAAGGCTGAGGCAGGCAGATTACTTGAGGTCAGGAGTTCGAGATCAGCCTCACCAACTGGTGAAACCGTTTCTGCTAAAAAATAAAATTTTTTAAAAAATTAAAAAATTGCCACCATGCTTGACAATTTTTACATTTTTTTTAAATTTTTTATTTTTTACTTGGGAGGCTGAGGCAGCAGAATCATGTGAATCTGGGAGGTGGAGGTTTCAGTGAGCCGAGATCATGCCACTGCACTCCAGCCTGGATGATAGAGCGAGATTCTGTCTCAAAAAATATATAAAAATAATAATGATAATCAATAAGAGCCTTCTATGACAAACCCACAGCCAAAATCATACTGAAGGGACAAAATTCATTCATCCCTTCTGCTTGGATCTGGAACAAGACAAGGGTGCCCACTCTCACCACTCCTATTCAACACAGAACTAGAAGTCCTAGCCAGAGAAATCAGGAAAGAGAAAGAAACAAAAGGCATCCAAATAGGAAAAGAAATAAAACTATCTATCTTTGCTGACAATATGATTCTACACCTAGGAAATCATAAAGACTCTGCCAAAAGGCTCCTAGAATTGATAAATGACATTAGTAAAGTTTCAGAATACAAAATCAATGAACAGAAACTGATAGCATTGCTATACCAACAACATCCAGGCTGAGTGTCAAATCAAGAACACAATCCCATTCACAATAGCCACACAAAAAAATGAAATGCCTAAGAATACAGCTGACCAAGGAGGAGAAAGACTTCTAAAGAACAACTACAAAACTGCTGAAAAAATTACAAATTACACAAACAAATGGAAAAATGTTCCATGCTCATGGAATGGAAAAGTTAATATGGTAAAAATGGCTGTACAACCCAAAGCAATTTACAGATTTAATGCTATTTCTATCAAACTTAATATCAATATTAACTTTAAATGTAAATGAGAATAATGCCCCCAATTAAAAGGTGGATAAAGAAGCAAGACCCAATCAGAAGCTGTCTTCAACAGACCCATCTCACAAGCAGTGATAGTCACAGGTTCAAAGTGAAGGGATGGAGAAAAATCTAACAAAGAGGAAACAGAAAAAAGCAAGGGTTGCTACTGTAATTCCAGGAAAAAGTAGATTTTAAATCCATAACAAGCAAAAAAGGCAAAGAGCATTACATAATAGTAAAGGGTTCAATAAAACAAGAAGACCTAACTATACTAAATATGTAGGCACCAAACACAGGGGCATACAGATTCATAAAACAAGTTCTTAGAAACCTATGAAAAGACTTAGATAACCACACAATAATAGTGGGAGAACTTCAATATCTCCCTGACAGCATTAAACAGACTACTGAGGCAGAAAACTAACAACGATATTCAGGACCTGAATGTGACACTTCACTAAATGGACTAATGACATCTAGAGAACTCTCCAACCCAAAACAACATAATACACATTCTTCTCATCTGCACAAGGCACATGTTCTAAAATCACCCACACAGTGAGCCACAATACAATTCTCAGCAAAAGATTCAGAAACACAAAATCATGCTACGATCTCAGACCACAGCACCACAAAAATAAATATAAATTCTAAGAAGAGTGCTTAAAGCCATATAATGAAATGGAAATTAAACAACCTGTTCCAAAATGACTTTGGAGTAAACAATAAAATTAAAGCAGAAATCAAGAAATTCTTTGAAAGTAATGAGAAAAAAGATACGACATACTAGAATCTCTGGGACAGCTAAAGCAGTGTTAAGCGGGAAGTTTATAGTGCTCAACTACCACATCAAAATGTTAAAAAGATCTCAAATTAACAGCCTAACATCATACCCAAATGAACTACAGAAAGGGGAACCCAACCCCAAAGCCAGTGGGAGACAAGAAATAACCAAAATCAGAGCTCAACTGAAGAAAACTGTAATGAGAAAAAACATGCAAACGACCAACAAATCCAAGAGCTAATTTTTTTGACAAAGACGAACAGTCCATTAGCTAGGCTAATAAAGAAAAAAAGACATAAGATCCAAATAAGCACAATCAGAAATGTCAAGGGGAACATTACTACCAGTTGTACAGAAATGTAAAAACAACCCTCAGAGACGATTACAAAATCCTCTATGCACACGAACTAGAAAATCTACAAGAAAGTGATAAATTCCTGGAAACAAACAACCTTTCGAGATTGAATGAGGAAGAAATTGTAATGCTAAACAGCCCAATAACTAGGATTGAAACTGAATCAATAATAAAAAGCCTATCGCCCAGAAAAAGCCCAGGACCAGATTCCGAGCCAGATTCCACCAAATATATAAAGAGCTGGTATCATTCTTACTGAAACTATTTCAGAACATTGAGGAGGAGGGATTCTTTAACTCATTCTATATGCCAAGCATCATTCTGATATCAAAATCTGGCAGAGACACAACAACAACAATAACAACAACAAAAANAAAAAAAAAAAAAGAAAAGAAAGAAAGAAAGAAAACAGAACACAAGCCATTATCCATGATGGAAAAAAAAAAAATCCTCAAGAAAATACTAGTAAACCAAACCCAGCAGCACATCAAAAAGCTAACCCATCATGATCAAATAGGCTTTATCCCTATGGTGCATGATTGGTCAACAAACACAAATCAATAAATAGGTTTTATCCATACCCAAAACAAAAAAACATAAGATAATCTAAATAGATGCAAGAAAGGTTTTCAATAAAATTTAACATCCCTTCATGTTAAAAATCCTCAACAAAATAGGCATAAAGGAATATATCTCAAAATAATTAGAACTGTATATAGCAAGCACAGAGCCAACATCATAATGAACAGGCAAAAGCTGGAAGCATCCCTATTGAGAAAAGGAGCAAGACAGGATTCCCGCTGTCACCACTCTATTCAGCATACTACTGGAGGTCCTAGCCAGAGCAATCAGGTAAGAGAATGAATAAAAGGCATCCAGATAGGAAGAGAGGAAGTCAAACTATCTCTGTTTGCAGAAGATACAATTGTATACCTAGAAAACCCCATAGTTTCTGCCCCAAAATTCCTAGATCTGATAAACAACTTCAGCACCATTTCAGGGTATAAAATCAATGTACAAAAATCAGTGGCATTTCTACACACCAACAACATCCAAGCTGAGGGCCAATTCAAGAATGCAATCCCATTCACACAATAGCCACAAAAAAAAGAATAAAATACCTAGAAATACAGCTAACCATGGAGGTAAAAGATGTCTACAACAAGAATTACAAAGCTCTGCTCGAAGAAATCAGAGATGATATAAACAAAGGCAAAAATATTCCGTGCTCATGGAGAGAAAGAATCTATTGTTAAACATGGCCATACTACTCAAAGCAATTTATAGATTGAATGCTATTCCTTTCAAACTACCAATGACATTCTTAACAGAATTAGAAAAAACTATTTAAAAACTCATACTATTCACCATTTTGTAAGTTCTTTATTTCTACAATCCCATAGGTCAAGTTTCTCCATCTTTGAGACACTTAGTGTAAGGGCATATTCAGAATAGTTTCCCTCAAACAGCAATGGATTAGCTACTAAAGAAGAACTATCTTTGTGTCCTCCAACAGGACTCATCCGTCATCAGATGACACTCAAAGCTTGTGAGGTAATGATGTACTACACAGCTGTCTGAACTTCAGATGACACTTTGGAGGCTGATGATAAACTACAGGTCTGACAACTCACTTTCCATTTTAAGATATTTCTTGAACTTTTTCTTGTTGTGACAGGCAACCAAATTGATTAAATCTAGTCATGGGATTTGACACTACAGCCAGTAGACTTCTATTTGTTGATTGCTATTGATTTTCTTTGATACTTCATTTAAAAATCAATAGTTGGAAAGAAAAATAGGTTTGGTTTACACATACTTAAACATACTATTGTATGCTGGAGGAGGCACAAGTTTGGCAGAGCTTTGGCATCCAATTATAAGAAGAGCTCTTAACAGGTGAAAGCAAGGGCTTTAGATCGATATGCAGTTTTCCTTCTCAATCAAGGAAAGTGGCTATAAATTAGGCTCATCAGTGTTATTTCCAAGGCTTTCACGAAGCAAACAACTTTAAACTTTTTTGTCTTCCTTGGATTTACATTAAAAGATACATCGTAAGAGTTTTTCTTTTGTTTTTAAGAGTATTTGTTTTTAAGAGTACCTGGAGTTCATCCGAGCTTTTATCTTCTTGGCTTTTTTTTTATTTTTTTGCCTCTCTTCCCCATCTTTCAAAGCATCTGCTGGAGCTGTGCTTTCAACCACAATGTCAATAATATACTTCTTCAAGGAAAGATGCTCCTGAAAGAAAAACAAATAAAATAATAATAAGAATAATGATTATTTAAATGTAATATAGGATTGCTATAGGCTACAGTGAGTATAAGATATTTGACAAAACTACAAGTAATCTCTGTGAAAAATACACTGGTTTCTACAATTGTTTTGGAAAACACTGAAGAAACTGTTTTAGTTAAGGTTTGTACATCATTGAATTCACTTCATTGCATATCAATTGTGCCTAATGCTAAGGATACAAGGACATAATCCCTACCATAATATCACACGAGTAGAGTAGGACAGGTAAAATATATATACGGAGCTATAATACCACCTATAATACCAGTCAATGAGAGATTTAGAGTGCTGTAAGAACTCAAAGAGGGAAACAAGATCACTGTTCACCAGGGGAAAGGGGGGAAAAATTCAGGAAGAAAGCATCATATTTGCTATCCCTTGAAGAAGGATAAAATGTGAACATATGGATATTAGGTAAGTATGTGTGTTTGGGCTGCGAGTGGGGTAAAGCTGCAGGAAGGAAAAAGAATGTCATCTCAGAAAACACATTCTAGAGATGAGAATGTGGAATGTGGGTATCAACAGCAAAGCTTTGGTTCGATGACAGCACAGTGTTTGGCCCCATTTCCCTCCTTATCCATCTTAGATTTTATGGCCTATGACTCTGATCATCCTGTTGCACGCACTCAACTCTTTTCCTCCTTTCATCTTTCATACCTGCATGGCAAAATCCCAACCCTAAATCCAACTCTCTCCCTATGCTGAGCCTTCGTCTGAAGCAGATTAATGTGGCTGTAATTACAAACTTTAAATCTGTGAAATTACACCTCAAGTGGCCTCTAGAACTCCCAGGCAGTCAAACAACCTTACATTAGTTAACCTACACACTCACTTTGCTAAAAATTTTAGATTCTCTCCTTAAATCTCCAATATCCCTCATCTTCTAATCCCATCTCTCAATTCATGACCACGTTTATTTAAGAAAAACAGCATTATTCAGAAGAGAGCTTCCACACACTCCCACAGCCAAATGTAGCAAATTTGCTATAGCAATTTGCATATGTGCCCATACACTCTCTTCCCTCCTGTTATATGAACACACGTTCCTTTCTAAGAGCAAGTCCTCCAAATATACACAGGATCCCATTCCGTCTCACGTTTTATGGTTATTTCTCCTCTTACCTGCATTATTGGTTTTCCTGTTTCTACTTAAATCATTTCAAAAGGAACCTTGTTTGTATGTCCTCCTCCAACTACTACCCTTTTGTACCAAATCTGTTGAAAGAAAGTGTATTTTGCCTCTACTTGTTTAGCTCTCATTGTCTCCCAAGCTCATTTTAGTCCAGCTTTGGCCCTTACCACTCTTACCAATCTACAAATTTTCATGGTCAAGGTCAACAATGCCAGTGGCCAATGTTCAGTTCTTATCTGTTTCTTGCAACCTTAGTCCTACAAATCATTTCCTCCCACTCGAGACTCCTCCTTCACTTGGTTTCCTAACACCACATCGTCCTTTTAACTCACTGGTTGCTCCTTCTAAGTTTTCTTTGCTGGGTCCTTTTCCGCTTCTTGATCTCCCCAGAGCTATCCTCAGAGCTTTCTTCTTCTCTATCCAAATTCACTCAACTAGTACAGTCACTTGAAATATTCAGACACAGAACATTCTCAAATTTTTATCTCTAGTTCTCACCTCTCTCCTGAACTGCATTCACGTGGGTAAAAATGTCTCCCCAGCCAGGCGCAGTGACTCACCTGTAATCCCAGCATTTTGGGAGGCCAAGGTGGGAGGATCATTTGAGGGCAGGAGTTCGAGACCAGCCTGGCCAACATGGTAAAATCCCATCTCTATTAAAATTACAAAAATTAGTCAGGCATGGTGGTGTATGTCTGTACACACCTGTAATCCCAGCTACCTGGGAAGCTAAGGCAGAAGAATTGCTTGAACCCAGGAGGTGGAGGTTGCAGTGAGCTGAGATTGTGCCACTGCACTCCAGCCTGGGCAACAAAGCAAGACTGTCTTTAAATTTAAAAAAAAAAAAAAAAAAGTATCCTCAAAATGCTCCAGTTAGGTGGACCATTTCCACAAACAGCATTTCAAAAATAACATGTCTACAACAAAACTCTTATGTTCCTTGTGTACATTAAGTTGTTCTTCCAAGAGTGTTCTCTATTTCGGTAAATCATACCATTATTTGCATAATTGCGTACAATACATGAGCAAATCCTATCAGTTCTCCTTTCATATAGATCCCCAATTCAACCACTTCTCCCTAGCACCATCACCTACTCTAAGTGACCATCAGCATTCATTTATATTACTGCAATAGCCTCTTAACTCGTCTCTCAGTTTCTAACTTGACTCCTAGGTCTTTTCTCTATAAAAGCAGCCAAATTTTTTCTATACAGTCAAATCACATTATTCCTTTTATCAAAACTTACATTCTCATCACACTTAAGAGTAAATCCAAATTCTTCTCCATGGCCTACAAGGCTGAGTCACTGATCTCTCTGGTCTCATCTACCACTCTCTTCTTTCTTCACTAAAACTACACCCACAGTGGTCCTCTTGTTGTTCCCCACATTCATCAGAAACGTTACTGCCTCAGGACTCTATATATGTTGTTCCCTTAGCCAAGAACATTCTCTCAGGTATTTGCGTGGTCTCGGCCAAAATGAATGCCATCTTAATTAACACCCTCTATTATTTGCTATCTCCTTATTCTCTTTATATTTCTCTATAGGACTTGTTTCACATCACTGCCTAACATTATATATTAATTTGCAATTTCCTTCCTCAAACACAAGTTTCCGAAGGGCAATGACTTTGTTTTGTTCACTGATGTTTCTATGTCTGTAACTGTGTCTGGCATATGGCAGGCACTTAGTATGTATGTATTAGATAAATGAATACAAAGAGTTAATGTAATAACAGCTAATAATAGTATTTATGAGGGCTTATTATACAAGATACATTCCGCTAGGAACTTTAAATATTATCATTCATCTCGTCCTTACAACTATACTTAGAACATACTTAGAAGGTACATATTTTTGTTATCCTCATTTTAACTATGAGAAAACTTGAACATAAAGTTAACCAATTTTTTTAAAGTTAGAAGACCAAAACCATAGCTGAGTGACTTTGCAGCTAGTAAAGAAACAGAGCCCAAATTTAAACCCAGACAGATGATTAGGGAATCCACATTCTTGACTGCTACCTTAAAGATATGGCTGGAAATAGGTTTGCGTTACAGAGCTGTGCTCACTTTCCAAATGATGAACCTACCAACAAAAAACAAGCAACAAAAAAACAAAAACCCCACAGCCAAATGAAGAAAATATTCTCTTTTCTTTTTCTTTGATTAGAAAATTAGAATTTCTTTGATTAGAAAATTTGATTTCTTTCTCTTATTATTTTCTTTGATAAACCAGGCCTATGGTATACTATACCTTTATATGGCGGCACTAACTTAAAGTAATGATTTAAGTTGTAAGTACACACATATAAATACAACTTAAAAAAAAATAACCCAGGTCTTTCTTTTCAAAGAAAGAACAGAGTGAGTATCAGGGGGAGAAAATCCTCTTCCCATTATCTGCCAAAGATGTATGGAACAAAGCAAGTCATATGTGAAACCACCATCCACACTATCATTTACTGAACACGTATTATGTGATAAGCAAACCGTATTATGTGATAAGCAAAGGACTGGATCAATTACATAATTTCCTATCATCTTCACAATCCCATAAAGCAGGTTAGATAGCATGTTTACATTTCACAGATGCTTAACAAACACAAATGCTTACAGATGCAAACTTCAAAGAGGTTTGGTATGACGCCCATGGTCACAAAGCTCAAGATCAAAACCACGACTGGCTGACTTTAATAGATCATGCTTTTTTCCTACTCCACATTCCCTCCTGCCATGCTGCTAATGCAGGCTAGTCTCTGACATGTAATTTGATCACTGTACTAAGGAAAATAAATATTCTAAATGATATCTTCGGTTTTGTGAAAGGTCCAAATTATAATATTTTTCAGTTGTATATAAATGTTATTTACATATCTAACAGAAACCATTGAGGAAACTTATACACAAATGCAGTCACTATGCAAAGAAACTTGGACTCTATCCAGAACTATCAAGAATCACACCTTTGTTATAGACAATGTTGGCCTTTACACTCATATTCACATACAAAACCACATACATCAGTCATTCATATTGTTTTTATAATCTCAAAACCAGAGACAAATGAGCATATGTTTTTGTTTGACTTAATAGTAAACTTTTTAACACAAATGTGTTAATTATAGAAAATATATATAAATAAAAATTAAGATTAAAATATTTGATACCTAGAAAAAACGTAATATTTTGAACTATATTCTTCCAGACATTTTTCTTTGCACATAAAATTTTATAAAAATAGGTATCCCATTTATAAAATTTAAAATCTGCTATATTTGATATATATTCCCACCATTAAATATCCTACAACATAAGCTAACAGATGTAAGCTACTCCATTTCATGAATATACCTATTTTGACTAATGCCTTGTTGTCAGCCATCTGGATAATATTTAATTTTTCAATGTCATAAGTAGTGCAACAAAATATTCCTACAGTTGAAATTTAAACAAATAGTCAATTATTCCTTTATGATCAAATCACAGAAATAAAAAACCTGGGCCACAGATTACACATATTTTTAAGATTTTTGATAAGTATTCCCAAATAGAACCAAAATGGGAATTAATTTATGTCCCCACAAATGGTTTGCCAGTATGTAATGTTCCTGTTTTTTTTTTTGTAAATCTGTCGATTAGTTAACTGAAAAATTGGTATTAGGTATGCTTGACTATTTGTCTACATTTTGTTTTCTTTGACTTAGGATGTTTCTTTTGTCCAGCATTCTATAAACACATTTCAAGTTTCATAAATCTAATTCCATGTAAAAATTAGCAAGAGAAAAGTATCAAGGCCAAATGCCAAAG